GAAACACAGTCTATCTATGGAGGCAGACACTCTTAAAATTAACTTTTGGGTCCAATGTTAAAATATTTTGCTCCATCCTGTATTAGTAAGTCAAATTTAAGTGTTCTTCTCCTTAAATTGTAATTTTTAGTTCCTTCTGGTTCCGTTTAGTATCCAACCTTCAAAGTCCCATCCTATCGTGGTTTTTTTTAAAGAATTAAAAACAAAAGCATTTTCCCATGGGAAGGATTCCTATAACTAATTCCAAAATCTTATTTCAAAACCATCTGGACCCTTAGTTCATTTGTAACTTTCCAGAATCAAAGTTCTAATTACTCTTTTGTTGTTTGTTCCAAAAAAATATTTTTTTTTAAGTCCTTAAACTTAAAACTTATTTTGCTAAGGATTAAAGGAAACTCATCAGGTGTTTTCAGACTTGCTGATCCAAAGGTTCCTAATAGCTGAAAAGCAGTTAACAAGCAATTTCTGAAAGTGATTAGAAAAGGAAGTATGCGAACCCATTGTCCTTTCAAAGGCACCGACCGTGGTTTGAGCAAGATGGCTATTCCCTCATTTCCCAGAGCTCAAAACCTGCCGGAGACCACTGTCTTGCAATCTCCTCGTGAGGAGCAACTGTCTGGAGCACTAGCTGGTGATCTCTAGTCATCTCCTTATCTGGAGAGGAATTACAAAGAGTCTGTCTGCTCACCAGCTCTTCATTCTGTCACAGTCATCGGCTCCACTTTTAGTGGAGCTGTCTTCAGTTCGCCATTTCTTCCCTGGAAGTCCCAAAAATTGAGATTGCACAGTGCAGCTTTCTTACCACTAGACCATAAAAAGGGCCATTCTTTTTTATCCAAATGGACAGGAGAAAATTAAAAATGGTCATAATTATATACAATAAACATATATCAGGAAATAAATATGTATGATAAACATATATCAGGAAAATAAATATGATGCTACAATTGAATGTGAATACTAGTACTACTTGACTCACACTGGGGGAGGAACAAGAGCCTACAAAAGAGTAGGCAACCTGGCATTTCTCCAAAAGTTTTATGCTTAAAACATGCTAATGGGACAGATGTATCAAAGTATCATGATTCTGAATTGTTAATAACAGAAGGTGGAGTGGTGGGGAGAAAATGAAATATGGAACAGCATTAGATTAAGGAACTGGCCTCAAGATAAGCCAGACCTATATTTTTTAAGTTTACATGATTAACACCATCAATCCCTTATATTCACACCACAGGTTTAATGTGATAGGAAACCTCAGGAATTTGGGAAAGTATCATTTTGTGTCTGTATTTCTGACACCTCTTTTTGAATAGCTCATTCAAAACAGAAGAGGAGGAGGAGGAGGAACATGGATTCACAGCTCAATTAGCTTGCAACTCATATAATTACTTAGGTATGATTGGTGTCTCTGATACAAGGTGAACACAGGAAGGGACTGTGAATAAATTGCCCTGTTGCAAAAGCATTAGCAAGGCCATATGTAGTGTAGAGAGATGTACTTGGTTTCAGGCTCAACTGATTCACATCAATTAACACCTAACTTGTTTGTACCTTCTGCCAATAAATTCTCTGCAAAGCTGAAATACAACAAGTGTCACATAACTCTCTCATTTTAGTGGCTGTATGCAAAGCTGAGCCTCAGGGATGCAACCCAATGAGAACTTGCCATGAAGCTCATAAAGAGCTTGGTAAGCAGAGAAAAACAAAAGGACTAGTGGAAACAGAGAACCAAAATAGCTGTGAAGCAGGAGACCTGGGACCACATTAACTCTTCCTCCAAGGGCTGAATATTTGAGGAAAAAAATGCTCTGCTTTTTCCTCTATATGGCTACTGCCAAAAGAAGCACTTGGGAGCATGGTAGCCAAGTTTCAGGGAAGATTATGTGAAAATAGTTGCTCACCCAAAATCCCTGGTTCTAGCTGGGATCCCTCACCTGTTACAAAAAGCAAAGAGTACCTGTTTTTTGGAGCCCACGATGGGAAAATCCAAACTATAACCAAACCTAATGGATAATTTTATCATTTAACTAGTACAGAGGAAACCTTATCCCAAAGTGATAGCACATCACAGAGAATGCCCATGTTTGTTGGTTTTTTCAATTTATAAGGCTGCCCATCTCAAAAAAAGTGACAACACAAAACAATTGGTAACCAAGTTAAAAATAACAATAACAACAAAAAATCAATACAAATACAATTATAAATATTGCAATAAAAATAATTCATAGGCTCCAATAAACACTCAAACCGCCAAGCCTGGGAACCCAGCCATGTGACTGGGGACAATCTGATCTGTGGGGGGATGGTGCTCCACAAGTCAGGCACTGCAACAGAAAAGGCTTTCTTCCTGGGTCCTGCCAGGTGGCACCCTTTAATAGATGGAACTAGTAACATGCTTCTCCTGCTGGGTTTGATGGGATGGGTAGACATGATTGGGGAGAGACAGTCCTGCAAATAACCTGACCCCATGCCATGGACCACCAGCACGTTGAATTAAACTCAGAAGCATATTGTAACCAATGCAGCTCACAGAGCAAAGAAGTAACATGTGCAAATCGAGAAGCACCCATAACAGTCTTTGCTGCTGCATTTTGTACCAACTGCAGCCTGCTCCCACCAAACTGTTGGGGTACCACCTCCTCCTACCAAACCTGAGAGGGACACTGCCCACCCCCAAGTCCTTCCCCAGGGAAAGGCCCCAAAGCAACCAGATGGTAAAAGAAGATCACCCTCTACCAATGCAAAATTCACTGCCAAAAACCCAGTCCATAAACTTCCAGTCCTCATTTACCAGCTATTAATGTAAAGACCACAAGGGCAGATCAGAAGCACACCACAATGGCTGCCATGTTGGCTTCTCCAAGACTCGGGGCTAAAGGAAGGTGACAAAATGGCTGCCAACCCCTTGTGGGAGCTAAGTTGAAGTCTCAGAAACCAGGCCAAGTTAGCCACACCACCACTGACACACTCAAGCTCACATTGCCATTAGCCTGCTGCCATTGAACAAACCGCCACTCAGTACCACAAAAAGAATGCAGCAGTAGCTTGATAGTCCTTAGATATCATTCAGATCCAATCTTTGGGCTTACCTTAATAATAATTTCAGTTTTTCCATCGACATCTTCTGTATGCTGAAATAACTGACTCTGATACTGCAGAAATTGAAAGACATCATAAATTTCTCTTTATAATTACCTCATGCTGTTCTTAGGAGTATAGTTATATGACAGTTTTCTACTGAAAATATGGGTGTGTGTGGGGTGCTTGTGTGCATAAACATGTGCGGGGAAGCATTTATAATTTTATTTAGTTTAAATAAAATTAAGGAGAGAACATCTTTAAAGACATATGTCAAACTGTATATTTCATGTACTAAATTACACATTATCTATTTATCCTTCCAGTAGGAAAGAAACATTTTGGTTTGAGATAAAAGAAAGCACTGCATATATTTCAGTTACTCCCCAAATGTTCCTTTTTTATCATGCTTAAAAACAAAGAAACAGAAAGTCACAGCCGGAAATCACACATCTGGAGCTTTGCTAGTCCTGAAGGAGAAGGCTATTTGCCCAGAGAATATAAGGTCTGTAAGTGGTATCCTCCTTCCTCCCCCCAACACTTACATCTGCTCTCATTTAAATCCCCACATCTCTATAGTGACAAGAACTCCTGCTGTTATCTGACTTTGCTTGGTTTGTTATCTACAAGCTAGCTCAATTTGGGGGGGGGGTCTGGTTAAGCGAGGGTCATTATACTGAACAGATTTGTATTCTAGTGGCAAAAATGCTTTACAAAATTTCATATGGTCATTTTTTCTGAGCTCCAACACTTTCCTTTCTCATTTTCATAGAAACAGAGAACAGCTGGAAGAGGCCACAAGGATCATTCAGTCCAACCCTTAGACTATCCATGAAAGGTGGCTGTCCAACCTCTTCTTAAATACATACCTCCAGAGAGGGAGAACCCGCAACCTCCATAGGTTCTACTATTGTACAGATTTAACCACTATACTTTTCCTTTCCTACAAAATCCAGGTAGATGCAACTCTTACACATTAACCCATTTAAGCAATCCAACATCCATTCAAACCACTACACGCATACCCTCTTTAGTGATAAATACACATAACAAATTTGCAGTGTAGGAATGCCTGGAGCATTTTAAACTGAGGAAAACAACTCTGTTAACCAGTGATAAAAAAATATTGTCAAACGTATCATCACCAAATCCAATAGTCAACATTACATTCAACCCCAATATAAGATGTTAAATGTCCTAAGGACAGTTTGAAAATGATCAAAAGTATAATAGGTTATCCAAGTATAGAATCTAACACATAAGCAGACTGGGTTTAATTCTAGATCTTATAACAAGACAAATAGCTATTTATTATCACCCAAATCCCTTTTACACTCTATTACTTCAGCATTGCAAGAGGCAGAAGAAAAGAACAGACATTTTTTCTTTTTTCCTATTGTAAACTGCATTTTCTTTTGGAAAGGTTAGCTCCTTGTTGGGCAGATTTTTGTGATCCACTCCAATGGATCTAGAAGGTTTAGTTTTAGAGTTTACTTGTACAATAGGTAACTACATGCTCAGAGGACACACCTGGAGATTACTGGAGATCTCACATTCCTAGGCTTCTTTTCCCATGAATGCCTATCCATATTTAGTGAAAGGAGTTCAGGAATAAGAGAATGATTTTGGATATCATAACCAGGCTGTTGTTAGAGTTAGCAATTGTCAGTTATGTGGTTATTCAGAAATGTTCTCATGGTGAATCTAGGGGCTACATCTCCTTAGATAAATGTGGCATTCTATCTTGATTTTTGTTTGCTAGAACGTTGCTAATACTTGACATGGAACTACTGCAAGTTACCCAGGTCTTTTGGACTCTATAGCTACAGTATTCCCAAGCCCTTTCTTGATAAGCTTAGTGGTCAATGCCATTAAACATCAATTCATTTGCATGCTCTGATCATGTTGACTTCTCTCCCAGTGAAGTGGTATCTACTCATTCACCATAGGGGACACAGTATCCCTGACTGAATGCCCCTTCCACCCCAGATACTAGGCACTGGCAATTGGAAGCCTCCTACCAACTGGATTTGTATTTGCACTCAGTTGTTTGCTCATTGACTTTCTTTCATTTAGTCCCAGGTTCTAATTTCAAATCTAAACTGTGACTACGACATAGTTTACTGGATGCAAGTGCTTTCTGTGATGTTCAGAAAGAGCATATATTTGGGATCTGGTGACAAACTGCTTATCTCCTGGCATGACAACAAGGACATGCTGGGGATAAGCCTCATCCTGTAACGGTACATGGACATTTGATTATAAACATTTTGATTTGATTATAAACATTTTGATTATAGAAAAGAATAAACTGGGAAAGCACCAACACATTGGCCTAATTTAAACGCTCAGGAAAACATGGGGTAGAGCCATTTCCAAAGCTGAGTACTTGGAATACATAGATTTTACCAGTTGGAAAAAACAAATGTGAAATGTGAAAGAGGACAACTGACCCACTTAGAATGATGGATCCAGCAAGAAAACAATCAAGGTAATGTAATGACTGATGGCTGCCTTTATGGACAACCAAATAAACATTTTTTAAGCAAACAGAATCAAGACTGATAGCATCACATTTTTAGTAAGCAGCCGACTAAAATCTGCAATGGCCATTTAAAGTGCCCGTCGCTGGGTTTTGTTCAGTGGTATATCAGTCACATTTAGTGCCAAATTGGGGACAAACTGCTGGATCCCAGCCTATTCTATGCTAAACTCCTTGCACTGAACCCCATAAAAGTTGCCCATCCTGACTTAAATAAAGATGGAACCTTGTATTTATTTTTATATCCAAACTACATATTAAAAAGCATCTCATCACAGGTTTATTTTTTTCCTGCAAATTGTACAACTTAATTCTAGGATACAGTTAAGATTGCTTAATGCCTTACAGAAGACACATGAGTGTTTTTAAAGCGAAGTGTTTTGTACAAAATAAGAAGCCCCAAGCAGTCTTGAAAGCTGTAACTTGCACATCATTTAGAATTTATATGTGCTTCTATCCCATAGTGCCGTTGAGCAGATACACATAATGACATTCTAAATGCAATACGTGAGCCAGCCCAGACAGCACAATATCTAGGTGCCTTTAGGACTTAGATTCCCATCCATCTTTTTTGCATTATAGGACTAAGACAAAGGAAGAATAGATTTTGAAATAAATGGCTTTAAAAGAAAGATCTATATAAGAAAGATATGTATTTTGACAGAGCAATTTTAAAACCCTTTTCAGTTTATAACTATCCAAATACTATTTGTTATTACTTATGTTTCTGACTAAAGCAAAGGAAAAATAAGATTTAGATACCAGGGGAAATTCCTTTGCAAAATATTTTCCATTCCAAATGACATAACACACAAAAATCCAAGAATGCTGACATCAAAATCTGCAATGGCAGGTATAACTGGCTATAAAAGACAAGAAACTGGCACACTCCAGTAAAGGATTTTTCATTCAATCTATTAGTACATTCTTACAAAGCTCTCTGTACTAAAAGTAAATTGACACTATAGAAAATAACAAGAAATTTTCAGCACCCGTATTTAGTTCTGACCATAGTATGTCTAATGTTCAATTTCATTTATTTCTGAGGAATAGTTCTTAAATTTTATTAAATGGCTAGAGACCAATCTGAAGATATTCCCAACTGCCTCCAAACTCAAATACTATCAAAGAAAGTCCTTAAATAATTATCAGATTTAATACTTACTCGAACAATAAAAGAGCAACCAAGTGAAGCAACTAACTGAGCTATAAAGCAGTGAGCTTAAGGCAACATACACAGTGTTCAAGTGATAAATATGTTTTTAGGGCTGCCTCTGAAGAGTTCTTGGAGGAGGAGGAGGAGGAGGAGGAGGAAGAGGAGGAAATGATGTCTACCCAAGGGAGACCACAGAATCACCTGTCATCACACAGGGAGGAAATAGAAGTGAACATCTCTCCTACTGAGAGACAGCTGGTGAAGAACAGCTATTGAAATCCATGCCTCCTCCCTCCCTGGTCCTAGAAAGCACAGATAATGAAGGCTCCAGGAATTAAGGCAGAGAGAGCACTTGAGGACAAGAGTTGGCAGAAGCAGAGCTCCCCAGATGATTCATCAAAAAGCACTGGAAGTGAGAGATGCCCAGCTTGGTGGGTATAAGCAGGCTCGCTGTTCATTCCCAGCATTGCTTGTAACCGAATCCTTTGCTCTGTGCCTTGTGTGACCACACTGTGAATTCCTGACTGTGCATCTGAATTCTGGATGGCCCTTGGCTTCACTACATTATTGCTCCTTGAACTCATCGTCATTTGGAGAATCTGGTATTGACCCAGCTACAGACAGAGCCCATGTTCTTAGTAAGGTCCCTTCCTTCTCTGCTTCCCTCCTGTCTCATGTCTGGACCTGACACTGCCCAGCCTATGGACTTCATAACCATGCTGTTATAAACAGAACAGAAATCATGTTTTTAATACTTTTAACATTAGAAAACTGCAGATATTTTCTAATTTGCAATTAGTTTGCAATCTCAGTTCTATTGGGTATTAAAGTATAAAGTCTTCCAGCATTTAGGATCATAGCATCTGAAGAGACTTCTCTTCCTGTAAGTTCCTGTCTGTACCTAAGATCATCTTTGGAAGGCCTACTCTGGCTATTCTCCCGTGCTGAGGTCTGGTGAATGGGCCTTCACTAGTGAGACAGGCCTGGAAGCTTCTCCACTCTCTTCTGAGTGACAGACAGACATTTTTATTCTCCCAGAATTTTTAGTAATGTGTTATTTTACATGCTGCTCTGATATTTTAACTTCTTTACTATTGCTTTTATTTATTTTATCTACCTTACTATTGATTTTATTTTGGATCTTTTATATAAAAGCTTAATTATTTAAATGTTATCATAAACCATTTTGGAGAAGTTTAATTGGCAAATGATATATAAATGCTTTAAATAAATAAATAAATAAATAAATAAATAAATAAATAAATAAATAAACAAACAGTACTCCATAGGCTTTTATTATTCATTTTAGAAGAACTTTTGCTGTCCCTTTAAACTCCCTTTCTGATCTGAAAATATTTCTATTTGAACAGAAATGCTAACAGCTCCAATTATTTAGATTACATTGGTCTGAATGCAGCGGGAGAAACCCAACACATTATTTTAGAATGTATATCGCAGATCGGAAATGATACTACCAAATCCAAAATCACTGCACAGTTACACTATGAAATTCACCAATGGAGACTATAGTGATGGCTACATCCATACCATCACTGTGATGTACATTGGGGTGGGGGGTTCTTTTTTTCTCTCTCTCCTTTTAACAGTTACTAAGCAGCATGGATAATTTTAATAGGTCAGCAGAATTTTGCTGACAAAATGGCTATAAAGATATTTGGGGCTAGAATGAATTCATTTCTTGAAACACTATTACCTCTTTCCTTTCCGCATCAGCTTGAAGTTTTGCTTGAGAAACAGCAGCTTCTCGGTAGGAAGAGCTGGCCTGCTTAGCTTGTTCGATCAGCGTCTTCAACTGCCGAGCTGTGTTGAGCAGCGAATTGACGGTCTCCTCGAGGTAAAGCCAGTTCCGTTGTTCTGTCATTTCAAGTCCATTCATCACAGAAGAGGAGATTGTCTTAGTGGGGGTAGCAGGTGGCACCGCCAGGGCAGGGAGTGAGGTCAACACTAAAAATAAACCCACAGAATGAGGTCAATCCACCAGGAACTCTGCTTGGAAGCTGTCCAGATCCATCAGCTTTTGCCTTTGCCCTAGCTGTCATCCACAGCCATTCAATTTGGCTGTGGTAGAGAGCCAGGCAGCAGCCCAACATCTTCAGTTCAGTTCAGTTCACTTCAGAAATCAGTAATTTAGGCTGCTTCCCCTGAGTGCTTCATCATGGTAAAATACTGACAATTTCTGGTTGCATTACAGATGACCAATACAAGAACACTTGAATATTTGGGGTTTTGAATTGTTTCTCTTTAATGCAGGAGCTCTTTTTATTAAACTAAGAATCTGAAAGCTAAAGAGCAGGCTGTATATGCTTTTAATAAATAAGAGAAGTTAGAGTTGAAGCAAACTGTAGAGCAAGCAGATTGTAACAATTGCAGTGGACCCTATCAACAGTTTAGAATAACAACCCAGCTTTTTGGGCTAATGAAGCCCAGCTCCTGAAGGGAGTGCAGCAATACACATTTCATAACTCTAAGATTTCCTGCATATTCAGTGATTCCTTTCAATCTTTACAAGTCCACTTCTTTCAGGGTTTCCACAAGTCAAAATCTGTGGGACATACTGAATGAATGCAGAATCTTTATTTCAGGGAAGCATGTGATACCTGAAAGACAAAATGGGGCAGTCTGAGAGGCAGTCCTTCCTCTCTGGACTGCAGGGGCATGGCCAGTGATATTACGGTGTCATCAGAGTGGGTGGAACTGACATTTCAGGCCCTCTCGGGCATGGTTCATGCAGAGGCTTCAGAGCAACCCATTTTGCTCTTTGCTCTTTAATATTTCCAAAATGGCTCCCCTCTTTTTGGAAGGTTCAGAATTCTAAAGGATATTAAAGATGCCTTAAGCTTTAGCAAGGCTTAGGATGCCCATTTCACCCATTAAAATCCTCCAACCACCCCAGATTTAACTTGCACCCAAAACAGTTGCCCTTCCCTATTCTGGGGGTGGTGGGAACCCCAGATTAGGGGACCATATGAAGGGAGGGTAATTTAATAGCACCTTTTTGAGATTTATTGCATGCTACATCCTTTGGGCATGGTGAGGGCAGAAAGTCAGATACGTTTTAAAATGACCTTCTTGAGAACAGGGGAGGCCCTTAAGCTATTGCCTGTCACTGTTGCATGAAAGAACACACTTTTGTCTTGAAAAGAGAAGACTTGCATGGGAGCTGAAGCTAACAAAAAACAAAAGACCAACACTGCTATGACAACAGCTACTTCTGCTTGTCATAACTTGCCAGGGAGCTTTAAGTTTTTCTTCAGCTACCACTTTGGAATGCCCTCAGATGATGAGATATGGCAGATGAGTTCTTGGCTACAGAAATGATGACTGATATGATAGCAATCTTCAACTTTCTGAAGTGTTGTCACACAGAAGAGGGAATGGACTTATTGTCTACTGTCCCAGAGAGCAGGATGAGAGCCAATGAGTTAAAACTACAAGAAATATGGTTCAGGCAAAACATCAGGAGGAACCTCCTGTCCGTAAAAGCTGACACCCAGAGGAACAAGCTGCCACATGAAGTCCTTCGCTAGAGAATTTCAAGCAGGGCTAGATGGTCATCTGTCAGGGGTGCTGTAATGGATCCTGCACTGAGCAGGGGACTGGACTAGGAATCCTCTAGGATCCATTCTAATTCTATGATTCTATGGAAGCAAACTTTCCTCCTTGGTTTTGCAATATCCCACCCATCCACCAAGAGGCAGATTTGGCACTTAATCTTTTTTCTGGTGCCAGGCTGAAACCTTTTCCTTTTCCATTGTGTTTTCATTTCATCTAATTTACCCCTATTTAATCCTGCCATGTTGGACTCTCTTTAATCCTATCTCTGCTGTCTCGCACAATTTTAATTTACTGTTAGGTGTATTTATTTTTAGCTGGTGTCATTAGTATGTATGTAGATTGGTCTTAATTTATGTTACTGTTCTCAGTTTAATCTTTTAGACTTTTGTTTTTTAAATGTTTAGAAAAACTGCTTTGGGAAAAGTCTGTTTTGAAAGGGAGCATATACATTTTTCAATAATAAAAACAAGTGCATGTTATTTATAGTTAACTAGTGTATATGATTTATGCTTAAGAAAGTGACATGTCTTTAAAAAGCTATTTTTTTTTAAAAAGGCAAAACTTCTAAGTAATCCCTATAGCAAGATAGGGAATATTCATCTTCCAGAGTAGCAGGCTGCCTCTCCAGACCAGATTGCACCACCCAGCCCTATCCTTTCCTCTCCCTAAAATTATGTTCCTCATGGATAATGATCTGGCAACAGGAAAAAAAAAAAGGCTCTTCTCATTTTCCAGCACCAGACTATGTACAGAAAGATTATCCCCTTTTCCGTGCCCAGAAAAGACTGAAATGATTTGGCCAAGAGCAGTACCAAATGCCACTTTGTTTTAACATGTGAACCTTGGAGGAGAACAGGACAAGACTAGGACACACTGCTGGTAGCTGACTGCAACATGCTTTGAAAGGGTTTTAAGGCTGCAACCTATGTGTCAGAGAAAAAGTATTTAGAAGCATAGGATAACAAATATCCCTAGTTCCTCAAAATCCTTTTAAAATCCCACTATGGGGGGTGGGGGGGTGGAGTGGGTTTCGTATTTGGGATTTTTATTCCTGTAAGCTGCCAGGAGTCACCGTGAGTGAGCTGGGTGGCCATATAAATTGTATAAATAAATAAATAAATATTCATACATGAAACCTTACAAAAATCAATATGCCAAAGGTGCTTCTGTTTCCCTATCCTACTTTAATTTGAACTTATGTGTACTTATTTACCAGATATTACACTTGCACAATTTAAAGTAAAACAAATTGCAAGGGTGATGATCAACATTTATAAACCTCCCCCCCTTTATTAAGTTGGCAAGTAAAAAGAGATATTTGTGCAATAGGACTTATAAGGATTTAATAGAAATTAGGAAAATATGCCTTCCACAAGTGTATTTTTGAGAAAAGAGAGATCTGTAGTTAACTGACTTCTCTACTCAATGTGGAGCAGCATCTGGTATTTGATTATCCAATCTTTCCTGACATATTTATACTTTTTTTTTTTTTTGCAAAGATCAACTTTATTCTTCTGTGTTTTTTTAAAAATTATCCTTGCTATATAAAAGAGCCATAGCTGAATCAAGCATATACGCAGAAGGGAATGAAAAAGGAAGATTTAAGAGTTCACTTAGGTGGTAGGACCTGGACTAGATTCATGCAGCAGAATAATACAGCAGCGCCCAACTAGAGATCCTAGTGCTATGTGGACATGAGGAGAACTGCCAAGAGAGAACACAACATTTGACATACAACTACATGGAACACAAATACATTTGTTAATCTAAACACCATCTTGTAGTGTACGGTAAAGAAATACAGACCACCATTTATATTTCTTTGCCAGATATTTGAATTATATCTCATATTAAAGGCCTGTGATCTCTCATAGATTATTAAATTGAGCAAATTTGGTCCCCTCCAGATGCATTAGACAATAACTCCCTTTGTTCCCAGATACCATACTTGGTGACAAATGAAAAAAACCGTAACATGTCAAGTTGGATTTTAAGAGAGAGGTTTAATCAAAGCAAAACAAAATGATTACAACTTTCTTCAACAATATGTCCCCAGAAAATTGCTATGCTCTCTCTATTATCCTTAGCTTAGGTGATCTGGTTGCAGTCCAACAGCATTTGGAAACTCAACTGTTCTATTGTTGGGTAATCCTACTAGCCAAGATTAAGATTCAGCTTGAAATGGAGTGCTCTGTGCCTGCAATGTTTTTCACTGGAGTATTGAAAAAAATCTGCTTCAGTGAAATGAGTATTTTCCTACTAATTTCACAGGAGACTGGAAAATAACCATTCCAATACCCAATTCCATACAGAGGTATGTGGAAAGTCTAAAAATGTTCTCTAAGGCTGCACAATTAAAGATAACATAAAATGTGTAAGATCGCAACAGGTTGATGTTCTTCCTTCATTCAAAAATCAATACAATAAAGAATTAATAACCCCTGAATATATTGAATATGATTCTGTTGATGCAGCCTTACAGGCTTAAAAGTCAGCTCTATAATATGCGCAGGTAAACTTAGCCCCAATTCTTTGCCAGATGAGTTGGCTGTCTCTACCTCTTTTTGAGCCAGCAATTCATCTGTAAACCAAGAAGCCAGACTGAGGGTGGGTGGGAGGGATTGGGAGGGATCGGAGCTATGACCTAGATATTCCTAGGAAACCAATGTTCTGCTCATTCAAGATTGCTCCATAATTTTTCAGAGCAGGCCAAATTAATAGTCCCCATCCTGAGGAAGTTGAAAGCTACTGCATTTGTACCTGAGCTGGTAACTGCCTTACCACAATCACTACCTGGTTATAATGCCTCCACTCTCCAAATCCTCAATCATCTGGCCTGTGTAGAACAACAGTTCTAACATAAGCCCAGCACTTGGATTGGACAGCCCTGCACTCATATCCAAGGTTATTTTCATCCCCCCACCTGTAACTCCTACTCCTTTCCTCCCACATGAGGACATCAGCAGCATCCTAGCACATCCACGCTAGTCATAGGAAAACTGATTTACTATTTCCCCAAAATATGATTGCATTTACTCCCATGAAGAAAAATGCTGAAATCATATACCTTTTTAACAATGTGGGGATTATTTTAAAGACAAGAGAAGTCTTACCAATTTTGGGATGAGAAGTTGGCAGTGCTGCTTCCGGGAATGCTGAGATCTGACAACTGTCTTGATAACTTGGATAGTGAGGTTCTGGATGATTGACCCGACAGGGTTGCTGCTGAATGTTTGTATCTTGTACTATTGAGAAGAGAGTAAGGTCACAGTCTAAAGAAATTGGTTTGGATGTTACATCTTGGATGTTCACATCAAAAGGTAAGAAGACATTAAGGAAAATGGGACATTTCTGGAAAAAGAGTTTAGCAAGAAATATTGTTTCTTGCAAGATCAAGACATGCTCAAGTTTCTGCTTTTACTGTTTTAATCTCAATATATTTCAACTTCAATATAAATGATGGAAACTAGAATTATGGAAACTGAAAATCTCAAAATTAGAGTACCAATTAGATGGCCAGAAATGAAGTTATGCTATAATATATAAACCCTCCCCAACACTAGATTATCTGAGTAATTAAAAAAAATATATTTGTAGTACTTATCCTTAGGCAAAACAATGTGTCAAGGATTGCGGACTTCTATGTATTGGTAAGAGGTTTATCCCTTATTCCCTTATATAATTTTAAAAACACCTTACATAAAATCTTCCTAATATTTAAATCCAAATTTTGCAGCTGTTTAAAAGATGTTTCTATTTTGCATGTAATGCATTTTATTAAGTGTGCCCACTTTGGTGGATTTTTTGCATATAACTTTCTTTTACAGTCTTGAGCCATTCTTAATAAACAAGAAAAATGTAAAATAATTAAAATTGCTGCTAGTTGTCCACTTAGTTCACATATCTCCTCCCAGTGAAAGGTATGTATAGTCCTGCATGAACTGTGCTTAATGATTTTAATGCTGTTTATTTATTTAAAAATGGATATATCATCTTTCAAACATTCTTCTCAAGATGGTAACAGTTTAGAACTGCAATCCACAAAGTGAATTACAAGCAAGAGCTAAAAATATAACTACAGGCAGCAATACTTTCTATGTGGCAACAAGAAATAGAACAGGTACAAAAAAACCTAAGTTATTAAAGGAGCTTCTGCAGTTAATAAAACTGTTAACATATTAACAATTTTTGAAGAATAAAAAGAGCTTTTCCTGCTGCTGAAAAGCCAGTAAATGCTCTCTTTGGGGGAGACTATGTGGAAGGGAGGGTCCTAATATTTTTAACTGTGGTATGTCTAATTGGAGGCTTATGTGACAACTTGGATAGGGTTAGGGTTAGAAGAAACTGTGCTGTCTATTTTCAGCAATCATAACTAGGACTCTAGGGGCTCCAAAAAAGGAATTGAGGCTGTAGGTTGCCCATCTGTTCTGAACCATGAATGTCTTTATAGAATAATATCAAAACCTTGAATTGGGACTGAAAACAGTCTGGGAAGCAATTAAGACAATATGGTACTGGCACAGTATGATCATAATATGCATTTCCAGGAAACGCTCTTGCTGCCATGTTTTGTACTAAGAGAAGTTCTTGGATTTTTCCTCAAGGGCAGCCTTACATAAAAAACACTGCAGTGATTAAGGCAAGAGGTTACCTGTGTGCAGATTTCTGAAGTTAAGCTATTTCTATCCAAGGAGAACCACACCTGGTGCATTAGCCTAAGCTTTGGGCCAAAGAAAACAACTGAGTCTCTAACAACAAAGATAACACTAGAATGGACAGAAAACCAGTCCATTAACATGATTCTGTCTTGTCAGGATTCACCTTTGGTTTATTTGCTTTCATCCAGCCTGTAAGAAAAAAAACTAGATGAAAATGTGAGGAAAAGTCAGAGGGTTGGACCAACAAGCAGCCACATTTCAGCTCATATGAGAGGATGAAGATTGATTAGATCCTCCTAATGAGGGGAGGCACTAGTGGAGGCACTACAACAGCAGCTGTTACACCAAGTAACTCCACCCAAGGAAGAGAATTAAAGAAGCGAGCCCAGTGGACAAGAGTGGCAACCAGAAACAAGAGATGTCAGCTTTAGGGTGTTTGCAGAGGCAGAGCTCTCTGAGCCCTCAGGGCAAGGAAAGCAACTGCAGAACAAGAAAAAAGATAGTGGATCATTGAAGGACAAAGTGGATCCAATGTGCCCTGCAATAACACAAAAAAGACTCATGGGAGTTAGAGAGATAAATACATACTGACTGGATCAACTAGCAAATTAAGCTGCCTTCCAAGAGCAAAATCAGACATGTGACATGTGACACATTAAGTCCACTGACAGCTATGCTGTCCTATAAATTCATTTAGGGCTAAATGTACTGCAAAGTACAGCTAGAAATATAACCTCAGTGACACTGAAGATCTAGAAAGGAAGCTCAAGAACAGATGGTGTTTTCATCCATCTTTGCAGTCCCTGGAAGAGGACTGAGAAAGAAAAGAATATTGCAGATGATTGAAGAGCTATGCAAATCTCAGAAGAGATTTGATTAGAGGTCATTGCCTGAATTATCTGGATAATAAGCTGCTGATATGAGATGGACTGCACCTCACAAAGATTTGTAAAAAAGTGTTCAACCAAAGCTGAGCGAGCTTAATTAGGAGGACTTTAAATTGAATCTTACGAGGGCAGGAGATTAAACCCTGAAGTAATATGTAAAGATTAATCCTTGTGTGTTCTAGAAGGAAGTGAGAGTGAAGCCTTAATGGGGCCTATTAAACTACTCAATAGTAAAATCAGGAAGAACATTGGCTCATAAAGTTCACGGCCTTTGTTGTTTATATCCTAATGCCCACAGTATAGGAAATAAACAAAATGAACTTAAACGTTTAGTATAGGAAGGCAACTGAGGTTTAATAGCTATAATGGAGACCTGGTGGGATGATTCCTACTATGGAAGTAAAGCAACTAAAGGATACCATTTGCTCAAAAGGAACAGAAACGATGAAAAGGGAGGAGGAGCAGCACTTTATGTTGCAAGTATCCAAATCTGCTCAGAAATCCAAGTAAATGAACTTGGTGATATTATAGACAGCACTTCAGTTAAAGTAATGGAAGAAGCAAATAAATGCAATACTGTAATGATGCCTATTATCCTTGCCCAACCAAGGAAAAAATACGGATGCTGCTTTACAAAAGCAAACTGCAAACCTTTCAAATCAGCATGAAGTAGCATGGATGGGGGACTTTAATTATCCCAAAATCTGTTTGAGAGACAAACTCCACTGAGTATGGTCTTTCCAGGAAGTTCTTGACATATCTTACCAAAAACTTCATCTTTCAGTGGGTGGAGCAAGACACCAGAGGAGCAGCTATCTTTGACTCGATACTCATCATTCAAGAAGACATAGCCAAGGAAAACAGTAGCAGTAACACTGGGTGAAAGTGATCATATTATGCTTTAGTTCTTAAATAAAATTAAGCTGAGTGTATTTGAATGCAAATCCTGGACTTTAAAAAAAAGTGGCTTTTAATAAACACAGACAGTAATAAGTAGGATTCCATGACAGGAGAAACTAATTAGAAAAGGACCTCAGAATGGATACGAATTCTTAAAAATGAGATATCAAAAGCACAATGGCAAATAATCCAAATAAGTGAAAAAAATAAGAAGACGACACAAGTCTAACAAAGATCTGAAAGCAAAAAAGAACACATACAGATATTCTTTTGGGTGGAAAGACTGACATATCACATACATACAGGCAGCCCAGAACTGTAGAGCTGGTGTCAGGAAAGTGAAAGCTCAGAATAAATGAAATTGCAAACAACAACAAAAAGAGCTTCTTCAAGAAAAGGAAAAGAATCTGCTCAATGAAATTGGCAAAATGCTAACAGATAATAAAGAAAAAGCATAGCTAGCTTCCTATTTTGGTTCAATCTTCTTCAACAAAAAAATATGCAAACAATAAAAATTGTAAAGAGCAAATGAAGGGGCAGGATTGAAGCTTGGGACTGATACATTTATGACCTAGGAATATCTATTTACTTTGAATGTGTTAGAATGTCCAGACTTGATGAATTGCATCTTAAAGTCCTGAATGAATTTGCTGATGGCTGACCTGAACCATTATATATATTATATTTGAGAAGTCCCAAAGAACAGGTAGAAAGTCACTTAACTGGAGAAGGGCAAATTCTGCTCATATATTCAAAATGGAGAAAAAGGAGAAACTACATACCAGTCAATCAGACACTGATATCTGGGGGATTCTAGAACAACTCATAAAGCAATGGATCTGTAAGTGCCTCAGAACAAGGTGATAATTACAAGGTCAACATGAATTTGCAAAGAACAAGTTTGGTCTGATTACCCATTATCTCATTTTTATAATTGGGTTTATTTCTTTTGTAGATTACAGAAGTGCTATAGATACAGTATATGTTGATTTCAGCAAAACATTTCACAAAATATCACACGACATTCTGAACAGTAAGGTAATTAAATGTTGGCTGAATGGCATAACAACTAAGTGGCTACAGTATATGAAAATCATACTCAGTGAGTACTCATGAGCATTTCCTCATCAAACTGGTGCGGGGTGCTGAGTGGGGTACCACAAGCTTCTACCTTGGACTCTTTATCTTTCAGTAATTGTATTAATGACTTGGATAACAAGATTAATATTTATTTGATTTGCAGATGCCACAAAATGGGAGAGAAAGCTAACATCCTCAAATTCAGAACTAAAGTTGAAAACAATCTTGGTGGGTTACAGAAATGGGTTGTGAATAAGATAGTGAAATTTAAGAGGCATGTGCAAAATTAAGCACTAAGAAACAGAAATGAATGCATAGATTTAGAATGCAGGATACCTGGTTTGGTAATAATATTTGTGAAACAGATCTTGCAGTAGTAGACAATTACAAACTGAATATGGGTTAGCAACATGAGGTGGCTGGGGAAAAAAGGCAAAATACAATTTCATATAATTTCCAAATCATGGAAAGTAATCAATCAATTTTTTTCCTTTGTTCAGACCCCACCTCTAGGGTGGGCTCCAAACAGGCAAAACACTTTAATAAGTTTTCAGAAAACTGGAATAACTTCAGAAAAGAGCAGTGAGGATGACTAGAAGCTAAGTCCTATGAAGAGAGGTGGAAGAATCTGAAGATATTCAGACTTGAAAAGAGTAAGGAGTGAGCATTCTTCAAGAAGCTAAGAGGATATCACACAGAAGAAAGCCAAGGCACATTCTCGGTCACTACAGGCAAAGGATACAGAATAACGGATTTAAGCTACAAGAAGACGGGTTCCAACTGAATCTTAGGAAAAACTTCCTGGCAATAGGAGCATCGGTGAAACCAATTACCTACAGAGGTTGGGGGACTCTCCTTCCTTGGATGTGTCTCTAAGCAGAAGCTGCAGAGCTATCTCTCTGGGTTGTTTTGATTTAGACTCCTGCCTTGGGCAGAGGGTTGGGCTCAGTAGTTTAAATGGCCCCTTCCAACAGTATGATTCTGTGATTCATTCCTGAGGCTGGGCATTGATTAAAGCAACTGTGACATCTGCTTTACATTGCAATCCTATACACCTGTATCTGAGAATAAATCCCACTGAGCTCATCAGTAGTACTTTCTCTTCCTATGCTGTTAGTCAAGTTAACTTCTACCTTTTTTCCTTTATCCCTGCCCTCTTCCTCCTTCTAAAATGTAGTTTTAAAGAAGTATCCCTATCACATATGGGTGTGATTTGTCTTACTCACCAGTGGTACCAGTAAAAACATCACCTTGGGAGGGACTTTCTGAGATAATAGCTGTGGCCTCCACAGCTGCTGTACGATCAAAGGTCAAAGTGCCAGAAGTCGTAATCTGTCCTGAAGGAGTCACGGTGACTAAAAAACAACGGAAACGTTTTCAGAATTAAGTAGAATGGTGATAGCCATGTGATCATGGGATTTCCCCACTTTTGCTTCTAACCTGCAGAAACTACCACACTGAGCTAATAAACACATCTTTCTGGAAACAAGCATACTTCTCTGAGTGAAAGAAACTAATGGTTTCCAAATACAGAACAGGCCAAATTAGTGAGGCTAAAAGCTTCTCAGTTCCACAGACCGAAAAGACAGCTCATGATGAACCCCCCCCCCATTTTATTAAGATGGAAAGCAAACATTAAAATGAAATATAGAAGATAAGGATTTAAATAACATTTGCAAATATTTCTTTGATGTTTTTACTCAAATTATTACCACCAGCTAGTTAAATGAAGACTAAACACAGATTAAGGGTACCAAAAGAGAAACTTAGGGTGGCTTGCCATTTAGACTGAAGTGAAAAAGGTGGAAAGGAGCAAAGGCTGTTTCCTGTAAAGTGTACAATGATAATTTAATATTTCAATTTTTTGAAAGTGAAATTTTTCTCATTTTAGAAAGAATGATAAATATTAAATGATGGTTAGGATTCATTTATGAACATGGAACCCTTACATGTAGTGGCAGCAGTTCCAGGAAGTAGGGTGATGTTTTTGGGAGAATCCTTCTTCACTGGAGTTGTTGGCAATTCATTCTCTTTTTTCCTTCTTTTATAGGGGACAAACAGTCTAACAGGACCACTCTGATAAAGAGAAAGCAACCATTGTCAGAACACAGCAGTAATTCTTTCTGGAGATAGAATAAATGTTTCTTTTCTAGTTGACCTAGCCAAAACCTTGTATAAATTGCCTCACCAAATGAAAGAAAATTGAACTCCTTCACACAATGAATTTAACACAGGATATGAAACATTTCTATGTTAAAGACAAAGGACTCAAGCCCAAAGCCTCTCAGATCTATCTTCTTCCATCCACAATTCTGCTATGCAGCAAAGCAGGGTCCCAGATAAATATGAAATCCTTTCATTATAAATAATATTATCAGACAGCTCATTTCTCAGTGTTCAGTTGCTATTGCTGCTATGCCTTACATGAGAAAAATCAATAATATTCTCAAAAAGAAACAAGTCAGCTCTTATAATGTATTCCAAACTACTTTCATTTCATATTATATTGCACATTTTTTAAAGGAACACAAAGTTGGTGAAATCTGAGCATTTGAAGGCCCAGTGTTTCTCCAAGAGTAGTTTTTCATATACCAACTCTGAACTTTTCCCAATGGGCTACTTTCAAATGTGGTGGACTACAGCTTTCCTCACAGCTTGCTCTGGGTCTGATGGCTACTGCAGTTCAATAAAATATGAAACACTGTACGCTGACTGGTTGCAACTGACAAGAAGTGCAATCCAGCAGATCTGGAGTACATCTGGTTGGGGAAGAGGTACACTTTACTGAAAAAGTAGCTTTTTCCTTTTAATGCTTCTACACTGTGGAGCCAACTTCTCTGGAGATTCCTGCCTGCCTATACCTAGTAACCTTTACAAGAGTGGCTAAACGTCATCCCAAATATTTATTTATTGCTGCCACTCCTATGCCACTTCAATCAGAAAAACTTTAAAGTCCCATAATAATGAGGTGAGGTGGGTCTCTACAAGGGAGAGAGCCTTTCTAGAGTGGCACCATTTTTGGAATGCCCTTCCCAGAGAGACTCAAGTGGCACCCACATTGACATCATTTTGGCACCAATGAAGACCTTATTATTTTCCCAGGCTTTTTAATTGTATTTTAATTCATATTGTTTTAGATTTTGGCAACTGCCTTGTTGCTGCCTGGTTCGTATAGTGTCTTTATTTTGTATTTTATTTGATTTACTGGATATGTTTTAATTCAAATTTTACTTTTTCTTTTTTTATGTGTTTATTATAAACTGCTTATAAACGGGCTATTGGGTTGTTTAAAACTGTTAATAAATTAATAAATATATCTAATCACAAAATAATATAAGCAACGTAAGTCCCATAATCAATAGCATTATAACAGAATTCCCAATACCCATAGGGACAATCTCTCCTCCCACTACAGATGTAATTCTCCCCAAAGGCTCTGCAGAATAACCAGACTTTCTCTAAATTCCAAAAAGTAGTAAAGGAAGGAGCCAATCTCATGGAGGGGGTGGGCGGGGAAAGTAATCTGTTCAAGAGGAGGGGAGTTCCCACAGAGAGTGCTTGTTTCTGAGTGCCCTCTCACCATACCTCAAACAGTTAGGAAACTCCACATATTTATAAATACATTTTTAAAACAACACATAGATGCATATTGTTAATAATCTACTATCATAACTAGATAAACTCAGCAATATTTGTTTTACCTAAAAGCCTGCTACTGCAATAATCCCACTATCAACCAGAAATGGTGATGTGGCCCTATTTCTTTGCTTGCTGCCTTTCCCTACCCAACAAGGGACCTTTCAGCCCACAGTATTTACAGATCTTCTCTGTATGATAACCAGCACCTAGCAGCTCAGCACATCATCAGGTAATCCAAGCAGCACTGCAGACTCACCAGACTCATGTCATCACAACAAGCAGCGCAAGTGCATGAGGCTGCATGGGGATTTAGGATTCCATCCTGAATGGAAGGAAAAGAGCAATATTAGGTTGGAAAAACTGACCCCCATCCCGCATTAGCACAAGGAAGCCCTTCCCTATTTCTCCAGGCGCTGAGAGCTTGGTTGGTACACTGTTTTAAAGCAACACCAGCCAACCAATCTAGCGTCCTGTCTTGTGGTCTCGCCCCCTCCCCCTCAGCATCCCCCTCTGCCTCGCTTCTTTGCAGCGTATCCTGCTCCCGATGCTACAGAACCACAAATGCAGATAATGGGCAATCTAAAGAACAACAGCCGGTGCATGAAATGGTGTATGACTGTGACGAAAACAAGATCGGATAGGAAAGGATAATACTATGGCAAACTAGTTAGATTTCCTTTCCTTTCCTCTTCCCTGTACCCCATAATGGAATAACATGCGGGGTATTTATGTATGCGTATACAAACAGGGTGTCCTACAAAGGTTTATGGTATTTCTACTGCTTCTTCAACTCCTACACGTATTTTCTGGTAAGATTTTTTCCTAGGTAAGACCTTGCCTGGCGGTCTCCTTCATTTTCAAGAAAGAGTATGCTGTATAAACTAAGTACACACAGAGTACACGATAAAGCTCGTTCGAATGCCACCATCCATGTGCACTTATTTAGAAATCAATCCCACTGAATTCAGCAGTACTTGTTTCAGGATAAATTTGGCCCAGAATTCTTAAAACTCCTATAACTTGCATAAGTATACTGTGCACAGTTTTTCATATATATCTGACAGTAGAAAGAAAAAGTTGCTATCTTACATGAATAAGGCATTGTATTGGCCTCCCAGCATAACGGATACTTCTTTTCCAGTCTTTGCTACTGGCTCTTCCAGCCATAGCTTCAAATTCAGTGGGGCTGTACCAGTTGTCCCCCTGCTTAATGCAACGACCTCGGCCACCTAGTACAGGACAAAATAAAGAAATAACTCCTGCTTAATAATTGTTTTATACAAATGAGGCTCAGAGGAGTCTGCAAAAAGCTTTCTCTGCAAGCTGCAGACTAATCATTCTCTTCCCACTCAAAAAAAAAAAAAAAAATGCATTCCCAACATAAACACTCTTAGTGGTTTCACAAATGGGAGTATTCACTTTCACGCTGATGCAAGCATCAATTCTCCTTCCCTTCCCATTCACAGCTAACCACAACAACACTGAGGTGGAGAACATGCAGATTATAGAAGAATTTCCTCTGGGCCATTCATCGACTTTTAGATTGCTAACAGTATTAATGGTTTGGCCTGCTGTGTACAAATGAACTTGATATAGGACATCTATCATGTCATATTGGAAAGTGAGCAAATAGCTAACATTTGGTTGGCCTGATGCATGAAATGAGTTGTATCCAAAGCAGTATTTCCTATCTTTACTCTCAGAACAGCCCAAGATGTTATCTGGATGGGATTTTGGAGGACAGGGGAACAGTGAATATAGGTAGGAATTCCCCTTAAGCTATATTCCACATTTGCATTGCTATCAAATTAAAAGCAGATTCTGTCACAACTCTCAGATTGACTGTGTTCCAAATTTATGGAGAAATATCCTGGATATTGGGGAATGTCACTCTCTTACAAAACTCAATGTTTACTCTTAAGAAAAAATACTGGAGGATTCTTAATCATTCACACAGATCAGAAAAAAATAGAAAGGATGAAATCCCTTACCTGAACCAAGTCGGTTTTTGTACAGTATCCCACTGATATTTCGGCATCGCACAGGCAATTCATTATCATATACTGAAGGGTCCCAGTTATATTTTGTTCCACCTTTTTCTTGGCCAGATGTTAACTGAGTAGGAGGGGACTGAGGTGCTTCAGATTAAAGGAAAGGAAACAAAGTCTTAACACCCAGTTTCCATTTCTGCATTTCCTTTAGAAAAGCAAAACCTTGATCCACAAAATGATAGGTAGCCAATAAACAACTTATTCCTTCAACAGTTAAAAGAAGAAAAATTAATATTAAATCTTCTCCAAACAACAGATCAATTAGATTTTTTGGAATATGGAAACCATGTAGGAAGGACTTACACTGTCATTATCTGCCATATAATTTTACCATTCCTCTCAGAAGACAATAGCACTGTGATGCAGGAAATAACTGTATCCTACAAATTCCATGTCATCTCCATATCTCAGCCACTGCTATAGCAACACAGGATGCCTATTTCTCCATGCGCTTACAGGGCTTATGGATCACTCCAATTAACCAACTCTGAGCAGCATACAATTTCCCAGTATGGAATTGGGATTAAAAACAATTATAAAACAAAAAACAACACTATATGTTACAATCACATAAAATTGGGAAGTGTATTCAAATCAAACAAGAAACAATCTAACCTCTGGAGGGGTAGTCATAATGATCCAGGCTCCCTGGCTTGATGAAACAGCCAAGTTTTCATCAATTTCCTAAGGACCAGGAGGGAGGGGGCTGATTGCATGTCAGAGGCATACTATTCCAGAAGAGGGGGGACAGTGACTGAAATGCATTGCTTGTATAAGATACAAACTGGCCTGATTACATTATATTAGTTAACGAATAGGATAGATGTTTTTGTGTCTTAACAGCTTCTATATCATGACATAGAAAATACTGAGATATTATCATAACAGGGCAATGAAAAACTTGAACTATGGGACTTCCGAGGGAGACATGGCAAACTGAAGACATCTCTGTGAAAGCAGAGCCAACAACCACAGCAAAGACTGAAGAACTGGTGAGTAGACCAGTTCTTCGGAACCTCCTGGGACAAGGAGAGGATGGGAGATTGCTCATATGAGTTCCAGAGCGGTCTCCCATGGGTTTGAGTGACAGGAGACAAAGGGGTTAGCCATCTTGCTTGCAACTATGGTGGAACCTTTAAAGGACACTAAGTTTGCTAGCCTCACTTTCTAATCACTTTTGAAAATTGCTTATTAACTATCTTAAAGCTATTAGAGACCTTTGGAATGACAAATTTGAAAAGTCACCAGGTGAGTTTAGCTTCAACTCTGAACAAAAGAAAAATTAATTAAAAGCTTAAGAACATAAAGAATTTGGAATAAACAGCAAAAAGCTACATAAGATTTTGATCTAAAGAAAGTTATAAATGGATTAAGGGTCCAGTTAATTTTGGAATACTGACTTTTACTGTTAAGATTTTGGAATTAACAATAAAAAAATAAGTAGCTTCTCGTGAGAATCAGATTTATTTTGCCTATCTTGGCTAACTTTATGATTTTGGAAACTGGACACTAGAGGGGACTAAAGATTCTAATTAGAAGGGGAAAAAAAGACAACTCTGCTTTTGGTGTCAGTTAGTACTGGAACTTACAAAATGAAACAAAACATCACAACTTTAAAAATATTAAAGATCTTTGAAGAATGGAGCCAGAAATTAGTAGCTACAATATCAACAGTGTCAGTAATGATGTCTGACTCTATGGATAGATTATGTCCGAAAGATGTTAATGAGGGAATGACAGAAATGGAGCAAATTTTGTCTGACAAGACAGAGAAAGTACCAAAAGCGGAACTACAAATGACAGGCCAAGAGAATGACTTGGAAAAGGACACTTTATTGGATATACAAAAGAAACTGGCTAAAGTTTTAAACTTCAAGGGGAAATACAAATAACAAACCAAGAGAATAACCTGGAAAATATTTTTGTATTGGATCTATAAAAGAGGCTAGTTAAAAGCCTGAAGAAGTCTGTGCAATGGGATAAAGAGGAATGGAAGAGAAATCAAATCCCACAACAATATTTGAATGAACTAAAGATTAAGAGGGGGACGTGGTGGCGCAGCGGCTTAATGACACTGAAAGTTGCCGGCCAGAAATGGTCGA